CTTTTTTTTTTTTTTGGTACTGGGGATCAAACTTGGGTCCTTGCGCTTGCAAGGCAGGTGGCGGAACCAATGAGCTAAATCCCTGGCCCTAGTCTTCCTTTTTTTAAATATTAGTATCACTATATTGAAAGAATAATCACTTACAAAAACATACAATTATCTAATGCAATGATTAATTCCTAGAATTTTGGAAAATAGATGATTTGGAGAAAACATTTATAGATTTGAACATGTATTAAATATAAACAGTTCCAGCCAGGGATTTAGCTCAGTGGTGCAGCTGCCTTCCTTGCAAGCCAAAGGACCCAATTCGATCCCTGGTACCAAAAATAAATAAATAAAATAAAATAAACAATTCCTAAAATGAAGAGATTCGGGCCACCATTTCCTCAGATGTTCCAGTTTATGCCAGCTGCTTCTTTGTAATTGAGATTTTATCAGCAAAGACAAATCCAGGTTTTGTGGCATGTGAAATCTATATAATTTGGGGGTTGTTCTATACAAAAGAAAAACAAAGGCCCACGCAAATAAGGGCAGCTCCTCGAGCTTAAGCTTCATTAGCTTCTGAGGAATCTGTCTCCCAGTTCCCAGTCTTCAGTAGCCAACAGTCATTAATGGTTTGATGTAAAACAGAGCAACAAGTATCTGAAATTTAAGTTGGGGTGGAAACATATTAATTATAGGAGGTATGTGGACTTCTGTGAGGCGGAACCACTAAGGAACCCCCAGAAATCTACTCTAACATTACCAGGCTCAAGGTTAATCACTCATTTCCGCTTTCAATCTGTCTCAATTACTGTTGTGGGATGCTTCAATTAGTCATTCTCTCTCTCTAGGGGCACAGAGAGATTACAGATAACTCATCCCACATGGACTTCACAATTTGAATCCCTCTACCCTGCCAAAGAAAAATCATTGCTGGAAACCAGGAAGATTAGCTATCATCCACTCTGCGCTCTGTCAATGCTGCTCTTTCATCAGACAAAGAGAAGCCATCAGTCTTTGGGTATTCGCTGCCTTCTTTTCCCTCCCCACAAAGGAGCAAAGTTCTGTTTCTCCTACACACTTAGCCCAAGACAGCCCCAGGCAATCGTTCTTAAACCTGCTCTCGGAAGGCCTTTTCCAGAAGCTGGCCCCTGAGACGGGCAGCCAGATTATCAATCAGCTAGACAGCATTTACACCTTTTTCTAGGACTGCTTAGCCCTAGCTTCTAGGATCTACAAAAACGGATGTTTCAATGACTAGCATTTGTAACATCACTAGTTTAGTAGACTATTCAGAAAGTAATGATTTCTAAATTTAGGGAAAATTTATCCCTAGGGAAGGCATTCAATTCTAATTCATGGCATCAGAAAAAAAACTGCCATCTATCAAAGGACTCTGTTGCAAAGGTTGTATTTTTACCTTGGCAAGAAATAAGAACAGTAGTCTGGGTTCTGTTACCAGACTATGGAGATTATACTTGGCTTGCAGTTACAGCAATAGTATAAAATAACACCTTTAAGTGGATAAAGATTTTTAGTTATGTTTTTAATAATTGTTCATTCTCTCAGAGAATAAATTTGCTGAAGGACTGAAAGTGGTCTACTTCTAACCAGTCCTTTCTTCCTTTGTTCCATCCCTGGGTTTACTCTACTACTAAAGCTGACATCAATGCTGTAATTACTGGTTCTAGTGACTATTTCACCTACCATACTATAAATTTAGGGGGACTGAGACTGGGAGTCTGGCACTGGGACTTGGTTTTCTTATTGTTGCTGTTGTTTGTGGGGACTGGAAGCTACATTCCGAGACCTTTTTACTTTTATTTTGAGACTGGGTCTCAGTAAGCCGTGAAGTTGCCCAGGTTGGGCTCAAACCTGGTGACCCTCTGCTTCAGGGTCCCTGGGATTGTAGGCCTGGGCCATCAGCCAGCTTGTTTTCCTTTTTGTATCCTTAGTGACAGAATGCTGACCCAAAGTTGGCACTCCATAAGTGAATTTACTGAAGGAAACGCAACAGACACTATAAAATAGTAAGGTCTATATGTTTTTAAAATTCACTTTGTATTGTGTCCTTCAACCTAAATGTGCAGGTCAAGAGCCCAAGGCTCACATTGAAAAACAACACATTCTGAAGTTATTTTATAAACAGCTGGCACAGGAAATGCTTTTGATAGACCACGGGGTCCTAAGAATACAGTGATTTTTTTTGTGTGTGTCCTCTTCTAGAAAAGTATCCCAGAATGCAGAGATTAAAAATCACATCATTTATTCCAGTTCTTATAAAAGTGTGTCACTTTATATCCTGACTTTCCTCTTCATAACATTTTTAGTTTTGTACATGAGAAAAATTCAAATTCAATCTTGACTCCTGAAACTCTTCTCTATTGTACACTAGGATATCTCAAGACAGAACTGTCTTAGTATTGGCAGCAGGGGTGGCGGTAGAGGTGATATGCAGTCAATATTGGCAAAACTTTCCTGGGTAACTTCTAGCCTCTCAGCCCTGTCTCCCCATGCACGGCTCACACATTTTCTTTCTGCATGAAGGCCTCTGAAGCTACTTACAGCTGAATTTGTCTTTTTATCTATTGTGATCTTCAACCTCATTGTAGAGTATGAAAGCATCCTGTTCTCAGTGACTGCCTCAGATTATGCTTACAACTACACATCCAGAAGGCAGCAGGAAGCTACTAGACAAGATGAGATGACAGACAAAGAAGTAAAAAAAGCAGGCAAGAAAAATTAATTTTTTGTTCCCTTATTACCTTAAAAACCTGCTCAGTTCTACAAGTAAGCATGCTGATATTTAAGGAGTATTTGTATTACAAGGTTTATTAGCCCTACATTTAGCTAGTCTAGCTCATGCCCCTGCAGGACTGAGGACACAGGTAGATATGGTGGCACACACCTGTAATCCCAGAACTCTCAGAGACCGACTGACACAGCAGGATCACAAGTTCCAGCCCTGCCTGGGGAAAACAAGCGACTCAGCAAGACTCTGTCTCAAAATAAAAACAAGAAGAAGAAAGAACTTGGAACATTAGCTTAGTGTGAAGATCCTGGATTAAATCTCCAGTAGAGTAAAACCAAAACAAAACTGAGGACAGTAAGATAAGAGTGATTAACGTAATTTTCAAGGTTTGCAAGGGACACCCAATTACCAGGTTTACAATGTCCATTTCCAGATCACCACTGGACGACACCTAGACATCTCGAAAGTGACAAGCACCATGAATCCAGAAAAAGCAGAGCCTTGCAGACCACCCTATGATGAGATCACCTCCCTCTAAGCAAGAACAATTGTCTCATAGGAACCAAACTGCCTTCAAGCCTAAAAGATTCCTCCAGAGCTTCAAAATTAGCACCGAGGTAATGATGGGTCTGACACTGGCCCATCTCAGCTAAAGTATAGGCTTTTGTGGTGGGCCCCTCTGAAGCCCTGTATCAGAGTGAGCGCCTCCAGCTACTCCTTTTCTTATGCCCCTTATTTTGGAACACTGCCTAGTAAATCTGCTTGTCTCACACTGATGTGCCATGAAA